CAGGATAGACAGAGCAATGAACCTAAAGGGCGGAGTAGTAATACTAGAACTTGATCTGAGGCACTGTTTTTCGAAGGCTCGGCCACATCGAAACAATTCTTCAATGTTCCAATTATGGACAACATTTATTATACAATTAATGAATAATTATTTACAATCATAACAGTCATCTTAGGCGTGAAGAACAGCGTATAATAATATAACGATACATGAAATCTGAAATAAAGCCAACTTTTTTTATTACATTAGGTAATGTCGTCTGTCTCTCTATCCTCTTGTAGCACATCCTCGACCATTACATGTGAGAAAAAAGCCATTTCTCGTAGTGCCAATGTACTTGTTCCCGTACTGATCGACGTTGTACCCACCACCACCAAACAAGCTTCCCAGAAGCGAAGGAGCTCGATAACTGTTGTACTGCTGGTAGTAGCTGGGATATTGGTAGTATCCATAGGAAGAGTACGGATTGTAGCCGTAGGGGCTCCTGGAGTAGTAGATCGGTTGGGAGTAGCCGTACTGAGGGTAGTAGGAGTAGTATTGTGATTGTGCAGTTATGAAGAGGAAGCTGAGGATAGCGAGAGGGACGAACATTTGTTTGACGATGTAGTAAGTCAGGGAAGGTGAAGCATATATAGTAGCAGAGCAGGAACTGTTCAAACGGTGATTTTATGGGGTCGGTGTAGTTGTTTAGCGGCGCAGGCAGATCCGCTGCTTTTCCATTTAGCGCCTGGTTCGCATTCGTCACTTTCTCTCTTACGCAATTCGTTCTGAACCCATCACCGCCCTTCAAATCATGTCAGCTCTCTTGTTCTTCGCTCTTACAACCCCCACGTCACAAAATTTCTTTGATTATAAGGATGGTCGTTTTCCTGACTGTCAGAATGTACTTGTGGATCAACACTATTAGAAGTTATAACTTGGCAGAAAAACCTCTGTCCTTGAAGGGTATGTCCAGCTATCGTATGCTTTGCCGTTCTGCAAATTCAGGCAGAGCTAAAATGACTTCCTGAATCGAAGCAAACCCATCTACCGCTCTTTGGCTTAAACTCGTTCTTGAATTACCGACTCGAACTCGTTGTGGTCATTTTATGGCTTACTACGGCCATGATTTAGTAGTCTACCAACGAACAAGTTCCAATCTACCTGCATTCACAGCGGTGTTATTTTAGGCTGAAGATGTAGACGCGATTCCCATGAGCAGATCGATTTTAGAGCTCGAGGATCGTGACAGCCAGCAAGCATTTTTGACGAGCATTGTACTATCAGTGAGGATGCGAAATGATGCTTTGTCAGCTTTTGAAACTGCATATTTTAGCAACGAACAGATTCATCAAATACTGAAAAGACTGAAAATTCGGTGTAGCCCACAATTTTACTGGAAGATAGCAATCGAGTTCTTACGGCTACAATGCTTTTCCTCTGAAAAAAAGGCAAGAAAGAGGCTTCGGTAATTCAAAAACTCACCGCACCCATAGCATACTTGTAGAATAGTTTACAATTTTCGCCGATTCGATTGTCCCTCTTCCCTTGGCGTACACATATTACAGCGATATATCTAGTTCAACTTCCAATGAATGGAGCATTACCTTGCAGCCCAGCCAGGAGAATTTTCGTCTTCTATACATCCTATCTTTTCCTTCACTTTCAGTTGCACTTTAGGACCACATTTTGACTGAAGCCACAACACTGTCTACAAACTTTGTTTATCTACCCAATCTCATTCAGCCGAGACACATCGCGGTGCTCTACCCCTCTTGTTTTCGATTTCTACAGATTTTGTTCACAGATTTCATGTCATCTTGAGCGCACATTTGCCTGGATCGCTGACCACTCGTCTCAAAGACGGAGCTGCAGAAAGAAGTGAGCATAAGTATGACAAGTGAATGTCAAAACAGAAAAATGGATGGAGAGATTCAAATACTCTTGTGCCATAAAATGGAGGAGCACAGCGGCAACAACTTTGAAGTAAAGTGCACGATATTAGCGCAGGAGACGGAGATTTCAGCGAGAAAAGCATTAGAGGCGTTCTGGATCTTTCAAAGAAATCCTAAAATGAACGGTAGAGATGAGTGCCCATATATAACCGACGATCTTTTGCCATATGTACCGCACTGCGGCTTATGACTCAGTAGCATTACGACGTGATCTTCTTTATCACAAGTATAAGGGAGACAACACAAGAAATCTCATTCGCTACTGACAGTCGCCTGTGGNCCTGACCATCGGAAATTTCACTCGAAAAAGCAAGAAAACCTATGCTCCTTGTAAAAACATGGCGCGCACCGGATTTTAAACGATTATATAACCTTTTCTTTTCAACTCAAGGTACTAATTTTCAAGTTATGGGAAAGTAATCTTTCTGGAGAATAAGTTCACCATTTTCTGAGATTAGAAATCAACCAATGTTGGCTATTCTTCGTTTTGAAAAGCCTCTGTCGCTTGAGTTTGGCCTATGGCCAAATTCATCCATTCTGGGAAAACTGGTATCGAAGTGATCAGGACGATCTGAAGAATGCCATGGTCTTAACTTCATATGGTTCCGGAAAATATTAGCTACTCCACGTTTCACAAACTACTTTTAATAGAAGAGAATGTCCTCTGGTTATAATTATAGCAGGCGTCGCTGCTAATGACGTACCCTTAGGAACTTTGATGGATGGGGACCTCAAAATCGAACTTTCAAAAATTTTAGATAAACCATGTTATAGAGCTCGAGGAGTTGACTTCAACCATATAGCACACTATATAGAAAAATTGTAAATCAACCTCATTACAGAGAAAAAACGAAAAAAACGCGAAAACGCGTTTTTTTCTTGTTTTTTTGAACATTTAGAGTGGATATTGTAGTTACCCAGCTGAACACACCAGAGAAATGTGCCTCTACCTTCATGAGCTTCAGTACGATACCATCCTGCAGGCGGAGGTATGAATGGGTCATTTGGACCGGTCATGAATACGCTTCTTGTGGTTTGCGGATGCCAAGCGTCTCACCCCGCCCCAAAAACGAATATAAGAAAACTAAAAATCTGGAAGTTTAATCATAAAATTTATTGCACTTGTACAGCAGAGCATAGTTAGATGTTTAAGATTTTCGACTAGAATGGCTACATCAATCAAACAACACGGAAGGCAATTGGCTGGCACACGTGTGATTCACATTTAGACGATGAGGATATGTTCACTACACAACTGAGAAACTTTGAAGGCGTGACGGCTGCTTGGATATGGGTATACCGTCACGATGAGCGGGTGCTGGATAAACAGATATTTCAAACATACGAAATAAGTGACGATAGCACGATGACATGAAAGTGAACGAATCACTCAGATATAAAACATATAATACTTATGATTACATAAAATAAAACTCTGTAGGTTACATTACATCGGATAAAACAAGCCGCTATTTCTACAAGTCGTACGAATCAGCTATGGGCCGGTAAGTCAATACAAAAACGTGATCATTTCAGAGACCACTAAATCCAGTTAGCATCAAACATCATGGAACAGGATAAGCTGCTAATAGCCATCTCTAATGCTTACGGTTGTCATGTAATTGGGCATATCACTAAGTTCTTCTTTTACATGTTGCTAACAAGCCTGTACTTCTCCTCCAACGACATGTCGAAGCCACGGTGAATGTTCTTCTTTTGCTGACGTAGCCTCTCGCGAGCCTCTTGTGCCGAAAGACCGAAGATGTCGAACTTATCACCCATCGGCGACACTAAAATGGGTTGTGATCGTACATTAACACATTCTTTGGAGTTGATAAAAGCAAAAAGAAGCGGTTGCTCTTTGATCACTCTTAAATTTATAGACTACGATTTAATCACTGCGTCAACGTCATGCCAAGGCTGTGATGAAGTCGAACGGACACGACTTATTCATAACGGCTCGTAAACAATGATTGGTCGCAAATGCGTGGAAAACACAAGCTTGTGCCTGTCACTAAGCTCAAGGAAGCTTATGAACAGATTACAGACCTGGCGGCCACAAATGGAAAATTTTTAAGGTCACAACAACGATTTGAGGACGGCAAACATGCATTATAACACACCCATTGCGTAGAAATCGGATCTAGGATCAATACTAGCCCAGGCCAATCAAGCCTTACATCCCTCCAATGTCGAAAATTGATACCACACTCGTCTGGGATGAAAATAACACTTTTATTGTACTCTTAAAAAAAGTGGAGTGTGAGGTGCAACCCAAAATCGAGATTGGTTAACGCCGAAGACATTTCTGATCAAAGACTCTTCCAACATTAACGATTTACAATGTCCCATGCTCTAGACGTTATGCAAACCCCATTTTGAAGCCCAAACAAGGGCGATTTATATTTTACATGACTAATTTCGTCCCGTTCAAAATCGTAACGGTGATCCAATGCACACTTGGATTGTACAACGTCTAACGATGGTTAGTCAGTGTAAGGATGGACCAGAACAAATTGAAATTGGTGTCGTGCCAGATTTTTCTTTGACTCACTATCACATTCCATCTACAGTATCAAAGCAACACGCCTAGTACCAACGACAATGCCGTTTTGCAAATATAGCTCAAAACTCACCGCTATTAGTAGATGTTGGATATCCATTCAAACTACTTCCATTGCTCGGCGGGGAGACCTGAGGCGGATTTTGACGTTTTGATTGGTATGTCGGAACATACTGTAATTCATAGTTTATACTCAAACATCTACAACCCAGACTGTTTCTCTATGATTCGGATTTAGCCTAGCCTGCTTCATTTCATCACTTTTATAATTCGTCCTCTACTAGAGGAAACTAAGAAAATTTGTATCGTCCAACAATAGGCATGAGTAAAGGCCAAAAAAGTCTTAGGTGATACGCTTTCGTCACCTGCCACGCAAGTGTGCCTCTTCCCACACGAGAAAGGTTTGCTTTATGCATTTCAAGACCCCTTGCCCTACTGCCCTTGCCGCCCTTTTGAATTGTTGCCCTCTGTCAGAAAGTGGAGTTGGTTCTAACTAAAAGATTAGCACGGTTAAGACACCTAACGCGCAGAGCTTACATTACATAGTGACCACACATACTGAGAGATTGAAACTGAGAAAGCCTGACCTTTATATAAAAACTGAACAAAATTATCATAATCGGAATGGAGAAGGACGAAAGTTAGGGCAAAACGCGGAACATACCCAGTTCTCAGGTAACAAAGGGTTTCAGCCGGGATTAAGCCTACTTCGAGGAAGTTTCTGAGGGATTGTGGGGAGCCGAATTGTGAACATCAGTTGAGGTCTTGCTATGACGTATGTACGAGTATGAGTAGTGCTAGGGACACCTTTTCAGAACACCCCACATTTGATATAAAGTTTGCCTTTAAGAGCGCCAGTAAAGCGAGCTACAACAAAGTACTGTAACGTCCTCAATTCAGAAGAGAATTTTTAGTAAAACCAAGTGTTGGGTTAAACATAAAGGATTAGGTAGCATTAAGAAAGACGATTCCCAAGAACCAAAACACATACATTCGATTGCTGTTGCACATCAACGGCGCTTTCGTGTGAAGAATGCGTGGAGTTAGTGCGAGACGCAGGACGGGCGGTGATGGTAACCTCCTCGATTTCGTTGGTTTTCGCTAGAAGCTCCGGCTCTGCTGTGAGCTCATTGGTTTCAACCGGTGTATGCGTTCGCAGTGCTGAGAACACGGCTTCAAGCAGATCACCTTGGACCTCTCCAGTGACAACGGTCTCCTCGATGCCAGTGGTCGATTCATTTTCTTGCACACCGGTGCCCACTTCAGTTTCTGGCTCAACGACTTTGGTGGTATCATCATGTACCCCCTCGTGGTCTGCAGCGTCTTCGTGCACTTCTTCTACTTCAATCTGTTCCGTGTGCTCAACGTCATTGGCTGACTATAAACAACACAATAAACTCAAAAACAAAGAGTTCAACCAAAACTAAACAATCACTACACAACAGGAAACACCACTAACAACACGAAATTAGATAAGCGTGGGTGGAATAAAGCTAGACAAATGGGATTAGGAATCTCACATAGCCGAGCCGATCTGTCTTATAAGACGCGCTCTAACCCTGAACTCAAAAAAAAAAACCCGAGAGAATACGTTGTGCCAATGCTAAAAAAAATTCCGCCTTGGTACTCAACTTGTGAGATTTCTTCAACATATGAGGACCACAAACCTGAGGTTGTGCTTTATGTCGATGCTGTAGAAACTCTTCCTCGTCACTTATCTGTATGCTCTGAAAGTAGTTAACAGAGGAATGTCGGTAAAAAGGTATGTGCGACTGGCAGTGCTACCCGGCGCCATATAAACTGGAGATAAAAGGACTTCTTTTAGGTGTTACGGTAGAAAAAAAGAAAATAGGATCAGTAAAACCAGACAATATGGGCTGAGCAACAAACCGCGTGACCTTGAGAACGAACATAACGATTGAAAGGGCAAAAAACATAGGAGAAAGCTGTACAACAGGTGCGGTAAGAGACACCCAATGCAATGACCAAAACGTTCGTGAGTTCCGCGTGTTGGTATAACAGGAACTAGTGATATCCTCAACTAGGTATTTTTCGGAGTGAGAACATTTTGAAATACTATTTTCAACATGAAGATTCTCAAAATTGAAGGGGCGAGCAAAATATGTAAGAGTGAAGCTCGCGTTCGGCATCGACTACGAACGCTTTCCTCATCTGGCTACAATTTGGAAAACCACGAGACACACTGCATTTTGGCCCTAGTAATTCTTTGAAATTCCAAATTACGCAAGACACAGCAACGGGAAAACTGTCCATATTAACAGAACACGCCTCCAAAATTAGGAAAAGTTCTGAATGATCCCAGCGGGAAAATGAAAAATGTACTTTTTGAAAAAAATTAATTGAGCAATCGTTAAAATTCGTGATGCAGAAATCGGATCGAAGCGGCTACCATGAAAGTTTAATCATTTTGTAAAGATGGGTCCTCTCCGTTCTCGGCTTATACCTCTATTCGCATAAATCCCCGGAATTCGTATGCCGCAGTAAAGCAAAATGAACCACCAACCAGTCCCAAGCAATCGGTTTTATGAATGATTCTGTGGGTGAGTAAACACCACTACGTCAAGTTCAAAAATACACAAAAAGTAATCAATCCGCTTGAGTGTTTTAAAAATATACTAAAAAA